AGCCTCTGAAAGCAGAATATATTTGTCTGGTTCTGTTCCAGAAAAGCCTACTCACCAATTTCACTGCAAAAAGAATTTATTCAAAAACCTTGGATGGGGAATTAGGAATAATTACTACAAGCCAATAAGATTTATTTTGATTTTTTAAACCAACTTTATCTACTATTTTACAAATTTCTGAGATAATGTCTGCTATCGTAAGCATGTGACTTTGGAGAATGACATTTTTACTAACTCTCATCTTTTAAGTCTCCTGAATGCCTGGAAATTCCTATTAACACAATATACTAAAAAAAAAAAAAAAAAAAAAAAAATCTATTTTATGAATAGGAATAATAATTGGACAAGACACAAGTATTACAAAGAATTCTGTCTTATGCCATATCATACATTTTAATCTCTAGAGACAAGGTTTATATTCCTCAGTGGTCTCCTTTTTTTATTCCAGATCTGTAAAAACATTAACTGAAGTAGTTTAGTACTAGGCACAGCAGGTCTTGCAGAATTAGGGACTTCCAGCTGTAACTATCACTACATTTACAGGAGATTTTTTTAAGCGAGTAAAAAGAATAAAACTTTTCTTATGCCTTACATAAGGTTACATGGTCTTGATTCAACCGTAAACTAAAACAAACCTCAAACATATCTTTCAAATCTAACTCATTATGAATAATGGTTAAATTAGCACCATGTCATGGGACAACATACAGTTTTGTTCTGCTGATGTGTAAGAAATTTTGGCATAAAACTGATCTCTTAAGTTTAACCTCAAAGTTTAAATAGTTTGAGGGCCAAATTCTCTTCTATGATATGTTATTCTAAATCTGAAGTAGATATGCTCAGGAGGCTAATTTGAACGTACCGGCAAATTGAGAGCAATATTTATCTTCATTCCTTCATGCTTGAAAAATAACTAATCAAAATGTTTTAAAACATCTTGCTGGTCTCCCAGCACAAAGACAAATTTCAGCCCCCTACCCCTTGTAAGTTTAGATAGCTTATTTCTCCACTGTCTTGGGGAATATGTAAGAAAGAAAAGTTAATGCAGACTTCTTTATTTCCCAAGACTTCTTTAAATCTAATTACATAGAAGTCATTCTAGTTCTGTGGAATGTGTTTGGATAAAGGTAACAAAGAAAACCTGAGAAGAATGACAAATTGTTCTAGGTCCCCCAATGTGACCTTCAAAAATAAGCTGATGCTGAATCCTCTCTTGTGACAATACATATTTGGGTTCTTCATAAAAAGAAATCTGACTACAGTTATGCATCAGAAGTAGGGGATAGGTATGAAAAAGACTGCCCACTGAGGAGCTTTCATCACCAAACTTAAAAACTTTGAGACACTTCTTAGAGCAAAAAAAACACCCCACACTGAAGCATTGAAACTTCATGGAAATCAGGAAAGTAAAGGATGTTGTGACAGAAAATTTAATCCCACTAGATACAATCATTCAAAGGAACAACTTCTATTTTTAGTGACAACCTACCAGAAATCCTAGCAAAAGGTGAAGATCGCTTTCTGGTTAGTTGGAATACATTATATCTTCTGAATATACTCTTCAGAGTAAGTAGTCACTCTTGTTAATCAGGTCACCAAGAAAAATATGGACAGATCAGTGTGAGATACAACTCTTGAACATGTAGAGATAAGAGGTAAAGTTAAAACAGCTAAAGTGACAGTGAAACCAGCGTCGTTATTGCATGTGGGTGTCCTTCTGAGTTCTACGAGATACATGATGCAAACCTTCACGTGGCCAAGAAGCACACAACATGGAATATATCCCTGATTAAGGGGAAAAAAAAAAAAAAAAAAGTCCTAAAGAGTAATTTCCAGGCAAGTCACAGCCGCTCACTGCCCCAACACGCAGGGCAGGTTTGAGTGTCCGTCCTATTTCAGTGCTGTCGTGCCCCTTCGCCCCCAGCGAACCCGCATGAAGCGGAGCACAGCTGTTACCCCCAAGACATCGCTCCAGTCCAGGACCTGCCCTTGAACCGCCTGCAAGCCATATCCAGAGAGGGCATCACGGACCAACCACTCTTGCTTTTACATCATCTTATTTACGTATCTATAAATGAGTGGCACATGTAGGATGCCTGACAATTAGTGCCTCACCTATTTTTTTATCCAGCTTCACTGAAGACACCCTACGGTGTTGTGCTCTTCTGTTACGGCCTGAGCTAAATGAGGTCCCCATCGCAGTAAGGAGGAGGTCCGATCCCCCCGATCACGTGCTCGGGCCACTTGCTTTGTGCTGCTCTTAAAATTCAGCCGGTGGCACACCAGGTCAGCTGCCTTCACTACACAACCAGCTAACCAAGCCCCCCCAAATTAAATAAAAGAAAGGTGCATGTGGAGGTGCTGCCCAGTGAGTCGAATTAGTTCATCGTGTGGTTAGACTAAAGCTGGAACCGGTCCTGAGAGTGAGGGAAAGAGAAGAACAGGAGGGGAAGCACATTTCAGCCCTCCTGCTAATCAGTTAATTGATAATACAGAGTAACATCCTCTGAAAATTAAAAAAAAAAAGAGGAAACACAGAGATGATGCTTCTTGAATGCTCTGCTTTGCATACATCACTGTTCTGGATGCTTTTAATCTCAAACAAAAGAAGCAAATATGCTGCTTAATTTTCTTTTAAATCAGACACTTGGGTTTGATTTTCAGCAAGAACAGACAATCCAAATATAACACACCAGTTTTAAATGCTTGACTGAGCACTCAGATGAATACACTACCTTTCCTGACTGATGGAAAGATGAGCCATTCTTTTCAGCTGACGCTCAGGTACTACCAGCTGGAATAAAAAGCTGCTGTTGATTTTTTGGTGACAGGAGTTAAGAAAAGGGTTGATGATTCGTAAGAAAAGCTTTGTCACAGTTCTCTATCCCCAAAAAACAAACACACACACAATCACAACAGGTAATTTGTATCCTTGCCATTTGTTATAAAATTGAATTAATATGAAAACTTGACTACTATATAAACTGTAGATCTGCCCTTTCTAGGCTGGAGAGAAAGCTACCTTTGTGGCAGCCCACAGGACACTGCACCTATGCCAGGGACAATGAGAGAACTTCTCTAAGGACGTTCAGCAGTTTCACTCCTTTTGCAGACAATATAGTTACTGAAACTAAGAATTAATAGAAAACAAAGCCTTATTATGTATAATACTGATGAATTCAAGAAAATTCCCTTGCCAAGTTATATAAATTTTGTGAAATATTTACACTTTCTATTTCATAGTTCTATACAATTACTTAGTTAGGAGTAAACATTTCAAACGGGAGATACTGTTGTCTGTAATAGACCTTTTCCTCAAGCCACCTGATACTAGTAACTATTGCTCTCAGGTTTACACTTTTCTATCTTTCATTCTTTTGAAAAGACGACACATGTAAGGCTTCATGTATCCTGCCATGAAAAAGCCTTTTAACATTTTTTTTTCCTGAGAAAGTGAGCACAGCACAAAGAATTCAAGCCACAGTAAGTAATCACTCACAGCCAGTTACATTGATAACCAGCAGCATCTTTTCCAGTCAGCAAACAAATCTGTGGCAATCTGGTTTGGGCTGGTTTTCCGTTAACTGCCAGCAACTTAATGCTCTGAAAACACAAGAATATCTGGAAGTTCAGTGGGACACTACAACTCCTTACTGATGGACTGCTCAGTACTTGGGGCAGATCACACTCAGCAGAAGCTTCCCAGACCAGAACATTAATTACTTTTTTCTTGATTTGACATTTTTTTAGTCCAGTTTTCTTAGACTGTGCACTAAGTGGTGCCTGCCCTACCAATCAGTTGCTCACCTACTAACCTCTGAACTTGTCACTCAACTTTAAGTTTTTTTCCAAAATGGGGTTTAATTTCCTTTAAAATAAACCACTGGACAGAGAAGAGCAAGTCTATCAGTGTGACTTGGGGAGGGCCGCATCTCGACTTTACCTATTACCTGCCATCATCCCCAAGAGCTCTCTTCGGGGACACAAATCCCTAAGAAACCAAAATTCCCTAATTTCCTTCATCTTGGTTTCTCTCCCGCAGGGTCTCTGGCAGGCAACAAGAGAAAAATATTAGTGGGCTACTGCCAAACACCAGTCACTATAATCTCCTTGCTGAACTGCACCATCCTAACCCACACAAACCCCTCAGGCAGCTCCACTCTAGTAGGAACTATTTTGTGTGGCTCTGCACGAAAACTAGCTGTGGCAGAAGGGACCCGCTGCCCGGTCTCCTGGCCAAGCACGGTCTCTGAATATCACCAGGCGTCTGTGCTTGGCCTTGAACTGCCCCTGCTTGCCACGGCCAGGCCTGACCTGGGCCAGTGCTGGCGGGGGGGTCCCTGCCCCAGCCCAAGCACCCTCCAGAAGGTGAAACAAGCCCCCATGCCCAGCACAGTCTGAGCCTCCCACACCTGTCCCAGCAAAACCAGAACTGGTCAAGTTGAAAAAGAAGTTAAAAGGAGTAAATCCAGACATCCTTGTCTCAGATTAGTCATTTTTCCTCTTTGTGCGAATCAAAGAAGCCATACAAAGTTTGGGGAGACATGGGGCTCCCTCAGCGCTGGCTGTGCTGCAACCTAAGCAAGCTGGGAGGCTCGCTCAGCGGGGCTGCAGATGGGCTGTGGTCGCAACTGACCTCCCAGCAGAAGGTGCGGAAGCCCGAGGGACCCCCCCACACCCCGTCCTCCCCTGTGTCTCGGGTACCCCACGGCTGAACCCCTGCGGGGGCGCGGGGCAGGGCTGCGCTGCTCCCAGCCGGGGCTCGACTCCGGCCAAGCCAGAAACCTCCCCGGGGGCTGCCGCCTCGGAGGGCGGGGGGGAGCGCACCCCCACGCCCCGCTTCCCGCTCTCCCCCTCCCGCCTGCCCCGGCGGAGGAGCCGTCGGGCTCGGCCGCTGGAGGAGGAGGCGGCGTGGACGAGCCACGGAGCGGGGTGGGCTGCATCCCCGGGGTGGGCTGCCTCCCCGGGCTCGCAGCGCGGGGCAGCGCGGTGGCTCTTACCTCCGTGGCGGGCGGCGGCGAAGAGCCGGGGCGGCGGCGGCGGGGGGGCGGCGGCGATGGAGCGGGGGTCGGGCGGCGGGGCCCCGCCGCCGCTGTACCGCCGGGAGATCACCCGGTCCCGCCGCGGCGGGCGGGGCGGCAGCGGGCGGCCGCCGTCGCCCAGGGCTTGGAGGAGGAGGTCGAGGAGCGCCCCCCGCTCGGCTCCGGCGGCGGGCACGTCCCGGCCCTCGGCGCCCGGCGGCGGGGCCGAGGCCAGCAGCAGGAGCACGATGGCGGGCAGCGCCTGGCGTCTCTTCGCCCCTCGCATCTCTGCGGCGCTGGGAGGAGGCAGAGAGCGAAGGCGGTCAGCGCCGGGTTCGGCCCGCACCCCGCCCGCCCGGCCCCCCCTCCATGCGGCGCCCGGGGGCACCCCCGCGGCCGCGGTGCGCTCCCGCACGCCCCGGCCGGGCTCAAGCCCCGCGGAGCAAACGCGGTGCGGTGCTGAGACCCGACGGGCCGCCAGCGGCTGGCCCCGCCGCGTCCCCCGCCCCGACCTCCGCGCAGCCCCGGCGCGCTCGCCCGGCTCCGCGGAGGGCGCATCTAGAGACACGGATGAGGGGATGGGTATTAACCCTGCCGCCCGTATTTGCGGGCCAGGGCTTTGCGGGCGGATTTTGCTCCCGCGCCTGCGGTTGCCGCCTTCCTGCGCCGGCGGAGCGGGGCGGCGGGGGAGCCCCGGCGGGTCAGCCCGCCCGCCCTCCGCCCCGGCCGCGCTGCTTTTCGGGCAAGAACGTAACGGACGGGCGACGGGACGGAGTTCAGTTAGGGGCGAGTTGCGCCGGGAACTGTCGCGAATCGGGGTGTAGAGGGCAAAAACAATTACAACGGGCTGAGGCTTCGAGAGCAGTGCTTAATGCTCCTAAGTAAGCTATTCTAATTATATCAAACGGTTAGGATTAAGGGGGGGGGGGGGGGGGGAGGAAAAATTCTGTTATTTACAGACTGCTTTATGCTTGCAAATCTTCGTGGGCGAAAGAGTTAATCGGAGCCGCGAGGGAGCCGGCTCTCCCCGACGGCTCCCAGCTCTCCCTCCCTCTGCAGCCGCCGCGGGGGCGCACGGCAAAGCCGGGGAGTAACCGGGGAAGGACCCGGGCTCCGCCGCAGGGGCAGCGACACCCCCCTCGCTCCACGCCGAAGGCCCCCTGCGAGGAGCCGGCGGGTGGCTGCTTACCTTCAGGCGGAGGCGAGTGGCCCCGAGTGGGTGCGGGCTGGGGAGAGCCCGTGTCCCCGCGGAGGTTCCGCCGGGCGCGGAGCGGGGCGGTCGATGCTACGCCCGGAGAGAAGGGATGCGCCCTCCAGGGCCATGCGCTTCTCTTATATAGTCCGCACCGGCGTACTCATTTGAGTACTATCGACTTCAGGTGGGTGGCAGTCGATGGAGACACCTCTGGTAAAAGGTCTTTTCTGACAAACTTCCTCCTCCCCGTTTGTCCCCCGGTGGATGGCAACGGAAAGCTACGTTTGAAATGGCTCTGATCTATTTGTGAAATTAGATTTCCCTGAAGATTGGGAAACACTTACTAATAAAGCTGCCGGCTCAAGAGATTAAAATGTGTTTTAACTTAGCGGGGTTCCCTTGGGAATACAGCAAGCAAACTACCACCCCCCCACACCCCCCTTTTTCTTATTGAACAAAGCAGCCATGAGCAAAATCTAAAGTGTGTATAAATTTGGTTCTGTTTTAATGGCAAAGAAAGTGGTAGACTGTCTTTGGTGGGTGCCTTCACAAACTAGGGACCTTGTAAAAGTTTGTTTCTCCAAAACAGCTTTTTTAATTGACAATGAGTTTTAATGAAAAGCTAGCAAAAAAGGGACTGACCTAATGAAACCGTTAAACCCACAAGCAAAAAAACTTGCCTCCTAGAGCCCTAAAAACATAAGCAAGTAATTAGTGAATGAGATCTCAACTTCCAGAGAGCAGTGCATACAGGTGGTCTTGGTGTAGATTGAAAAAAACAAGATATTTTTTTTTAAAATTATACCAGACAATATGACAGATCTTGCAACTATAACTCTTTGTCAGAAGATACTGCTGAGATACTGACTTAATAAGAGTGGGAGAAAAATAAAAAACATTCGAGATGAAAGAGATTTGAAGTATTCTGACTTTGTATGACATATGACATTTCCCTACAAACTCCATCTCTTGCCCAAAACTCTGTTGTTCGTACCCTTCTCTCAGGCAGAGCGTGCTCAGGGCCACATCTCACAGGGACTGTGTCATTACTGGTGATGACAGTGCATCATCACTGGTGATGGGAGGCAGCTTCTTCCCCACATCCTCCTATTCTTGTGCCATCCTCACTCACTTTTTTGGGGACCCATACCACAGAGATTGGGGATCAAACCAAATTTAGCTAGTGAAGGGTTACAAAGGGTTTTATCACACAATTTTTTTTTAGAGGTCAATGTACTTCACTAGATACACTGGTCTGATCTGTGGATTCCCAAGGTAACAGAAGGGAAGTGTCAATCTCTTTCTCCCTGCACAATTTCCTGTTTTTACCTCTTTATTGGAGGCATATAAGGAGTTTTCTTTGGTCAAGCTGATGGTTAAGTTGAGTGAAGAGGAAAAGGGAGACCAGTAATAAACCGAGAAACAAAGCAGCTTAATTAATTTACCAGCACCAAAACAAATCCCAAAATTTCTCTCCATTTGTTTCTTTGCCTTTATTTTGCCCTCAGAGACACATATTGCCACCACAGAAGGGGACTGATTTCTCCTCTAGAAACAACTAAAGTATTACCTTGACTCAAACTCCTTTGCCCACCTTCGTAACTAGTCATGAATTGGGTTTACATCTTCTTCTATCCCAGGAAGCAGGTCGCATGGGGAGGAAATCTGTGGCATAATTGTTCTGCTCATAAAAATGTCAAAGTCTTTATTGGGTGTCTGTTCGAGGCAGATAGCAGAATACTCACGAGAATTAAAAGCAATACTGCAAAAGGAAAAGTAATGGTTCCTCTTCTCTCCTCCACACCCCGAAAAAAAAGATCTAAGAGGTCTGCAAACCTCTATAGCTGACTATTCAGTCTTGATGGACAACATCCTGGAGCCGCTAGTTTGGGAAAGTTTGTGACTCCTTGAGCAAAGATTGTCAAATATATTACCCACATTCAGTGGGTTTCTAAGATACAGATACTGTTACCAATACTAAGGCCATTAAATTTTGTTCTTTAAATTATATGTTGAGTATTTAGGGTTTTAAAACTTTGTATCAGAACCCAACTAGGCCCTTTAACATTAAAAGCCACCCAGTTTTGTCCTCGCCCTTTACCTCTGCTGTCACTTGTTTTTCTCCTTTGGAAGAGCTTCATCTTTCTTTCCTTGGATTGACATTATACCCATCCAGAGGGCAATAAACTGTTTTTTAATTCCTGCTTTAAATTAAAGGTTACATACAGGTTGTTTGCTTCATTTGTTACCAGGAGTGTTTTTTTTCTGAACTTTATCCTTTGTGTATTTTCAAAAGAATAAACCAGAAGTCAAGGAAACAAGAGAGTGGGTGTCCCTGCAGAGCAGCTTGAGAGGCAGATCTATCAGGCCCAGATGCTACTGCAGTGATTCCCATTCACTGCTGTGGGAGCTGGGGCAAGCCTTAAAATGCAAAGAACCAAATAATTAGAGCCACAGCACATCTAAATCACAAGATTTAAGTAGCTTTTCCAGATTCTTTCTATGCCCAAGAGCCTTAAAGACTTGTTTCAAAACAAAACAAAACAAAAGATTTGTTTTCTATGATTGCGCAAAGCCTTGTCTCTTTTTAAATTGTTTTGATATTTGAATTCTTCAGAGAGCATCTGAAAGAATGGCAACCAGAGAGCAACCGGAAGAAGATGACTGTTTTACTAATCCCAGGCAATTATGGCAGGTTGAAAGCCCATTCTCAGGTCACAGTTACATTGGCCCTTTTGTTAGTAGCTCTAATGTGCCTCCTCATCATCATACGGAAAAGGAACCTCAGCATGAGATTTGCATCAGAGAGAGCATCTTAAGACTGCACTCAGTATCTTATTTAGGAACTGAAAACCTGTTCATAGTGAGCAGAAATAAGTCTGGTTATTTGCTTCTTGCAGCCAGAGGATTGAAACAAGTACATTACATTTTTTTCCTGTGGCATGTTCTTTTTATTTTCTGATATGTCTTAGCCACAAATCTGTCTGATTGAAGTTAAAAGCAAACTAGTTAAATCAAAGTATCACAGAACTGACAGGGACTTGGAGAGATCGTCTATTTTTTTCCATTGCACAAGGCAGAGCCAACTGTACCTATGTCATCAGGGCTCAGTAAGAAACCTAACTTTTCCTAAGTTTAGCGCTTCAACCCAAATCCATGAAATGAACAATTGGTAAATGTTGGTTTAGTAGTGACATTTTACTTTGGGATTTACACTGAAATATAAAAATTATCTAAATGTATTCCCAAAGCACATACTCAAATAAAAGACAGGCTAAAGCAAGATTTAAAATTTAGGTGTCTCACTGTTTCTAAATAAATCTGTCAGCCAAAGATTTCCATGGCCACTCAGCTAAATCAAAAAGAAAAACGGAGGAAAAGCCTGGTTCTGTTGAAGTCCATGGGAATTTTCCTGTTGACTTTGTTGAGCTAGGATTTAATGCGGGGTTGTTACTAAAGGAGAGGTGAGGAAGTGAAAAATGACCTCAAAACCATGAATGTATTAGCCAAGGCAGTAATTTACAGATGGCTTCTGTAAATTCTGATAAGTAATAGAGGATTCCAGCTGGTTTTCAGATTGCACTATTCTCTTAAAAATCAGAGCTTTTGAACAGCCATATATACATAAGCCTGTTGCGTCTGATACAAATATACTGGATCCTGCCTCAGTGCAGAGGACTTGATCTGATGATCTCTTGAAAACCTTTTGCAGTCCTTTATTTCTACAAATCTATATGGGTTTTTGCAAGCAGCTTTTAAGGCACAGGACATGCTAATGAACTGGCTGACAGTGGAAGGCCGTACAGTTAAAGAAGTAAAACAGTATTACTAACAGAGATGTAAGAATCAACATGACATATAAATATCATGACTTAAAACTTAATGCATCTTGTAACTTGATGCTATTTTTTCAGCATTTTTTTTGTAGAAATAACACAGTATAGAATTGTGGTATGTTCTTGGCTGAATTTTAGGTAGCAGCTTCAAATATTTATTCCTTAGAGATCATCATCTTTTCAATCAAAAAATAGCAGATTAGTTTTATTATTTGTCGTGGTTTGAGCTCAGAGGGCAACTGAGCACCGCACAGC